CTCTGGTAAGACGCTCTTCATGGGCTGAGCCTTCTATGGTCTGGACTCCAGTTTTTCAAACAAGGAGCCCAGTTATGGAAAATGTTTATGTCTAGGAGAGGCTGGAGAGTCAGATGCTGGTAACAGCAGCTGAAGGTTGTAGCCTGGGCATCGGGAAGAAGGCTGAGGTAAGCAGCCAGCTCCTCAAACAGGAAGCCTTCCCTAAAGAACCGTTGCTTTTTTGGTCAGAGTGTTGAAAAATAAAAATCTTTTGGTGAAGAAGTTAAATAACTATATATTAATCTTCCCCTTAAACCTGCACAAATTGGAATTAAAGCTATCCATGGCTTACTTATTCAAAACGGGAATCTTGTTAAATTAATTGGAAGCTGTAAAATAATCCGCTACACAGGAGTGCACGAGTGAGTGTGTTAGCACAGACACAGAGCCTTGATCACGCAAGATGTGTTACCAGCTTTGCCTTTGGCAACGCTTATGAGTTGTTTTGGTATTTGCTGCCAAGTATGTGTCTACTCCTACAAAGCGCTGAGGCCTTACTAAAACGTTGGAGAGTGAAGACTGAGCCTTTCAGAGTCTCTGTTGCTACAGGGCGTTGATCACTTAAACCCCGGATACTGGATAAAGGAAATTTGTCAGGCTTCCTGGCTTTCAGTGACCTCTGTTAGCTCTCACTAAATGGTGATCACATGGCCCCTTGAATGACCAAGCCTGTATGAGCATTTGGGTGGGATGCTGTTTGTGCCTCTTGCGGTCAACAGCAGTAGTTGTTGCCACAGCTTACCTGGAATATGATGGGGAAAATGGGAATTAGTTTTGGAAAACGATAAACGAAATTGTCCTTCAATGATGTCATGTAGGGCTTGGCTGAACTGTAAGTGAAGAATTGCTTCCCAACCCTCCACAAATCTTTGCAGACCCTGTTTAGGATCTGCAAATCGAGTTGGATTCTGATGGGCTGCCAGGACTAGTACTAGCTTTGGTGAGCAAAACCTGTCACGCCTACGTATCAAAAGAGTTGGTAAGTGACCAGCGCTGTTCTCTTCTCCTTGTTAGCAATTATAGTTGCACACGGCCACATTTTCTTTTAATTTAAATCCACGCACCAAAAATGCTATTATTAAGTGCTTTTCTCCCACTGAGATTGTCATGGAAAAGACAATTTATAAACAGTACAGCTATCAAAGAAGGCTCATCATCGACTCTCAGGTTGGTTATTTGCAATTCATCAGCACGGTCATATCTGTGACCACACATCTAAAACATATCCTTTGATTCCCGCACTTTGTAAGGAAAGTAATTATCCAAGGCCATTGTTCATCACTTGCAGTATGTGTAAAATGTACGATAAATTAGTTTTGAAGTAAAAGAGTGACTTGAGCTTTATTTTATTAAGCTATACTTCTTTCAAACCTAAGCATGAAATATTGCATTTTCATTTCAGTAAAAAAAAAATCTGTCTCCTGCATCCTCAATTGTGTGTGCTGCATTGTGTTTCAAATCGCCAGATACACTTATGAAGAATTATATGCACTTATTAATTTTCAGCTTGAAGACACGTATGTTGATTTATTGCTCTGCAAAGAATTAGCTGGCTTGCCGATGCTTATGTCTCTTATACATCATGCAGAGCTGATGGATGCTCATAGCACAACTCAGCAAGCAGGTGTAGGTATTACTGCAAATGACCATCTCAGTCAGAAAATTGTTTAAAGAAAATCCAGTTTGCACAAAACCTCAAAATTGCCCGTTGGAAAAGTAAAGTAGCAGCCTCAGCATTTATTATTCTCTAATATGTTTGCTGTCATTGCATAGTCTCAGTAGCCTGTTTGGAATAAAGTGTCGTTTTCATGCAGATAAGAAAAGCACACCTCAGTTTAACTGATGCAAACATCCATTCAGAATTTCTTTAAATGTGACCGTGTTTGTTTTCCCCACTGCTCG